TGGACCTATTGCTGTAAGTGTTTTGTGTTTTGTATTGTGTTTAGTTTAGTTTTGGCTAAATAAATTCGATTTACAAAACCCCCATGGATGATGGATAATTAAATACTTACTTAGTTCTGCTACCTGAAACACTGGAATTTTCAGATGAGATCTGTGCTGTTTTACCTGCCAATATGCCTTCCTGATCCAATGCAGTAAGTCCCATGCAGTGTAAAAACTGAGATACGAAAGCTAGGAGCTAAATGCCACCTTGAACCTAGGTTATGGGTGCAAGAATGGAATGTCTAGGCACGCTTTTTTATAACAAGAAAACAAAGCCGAAAATGAATGAGCTGCAGCTAAAGTATTGTGTTCATTTTTCACATGGTCTAGTCCTTTCCCTGCCCGCCTACCCCTAATATTCTTAAGAGGGTCTCGGTCAGGTTTATCTCCATCTGATTGTGTCCTAGGTCTAGGTTTCAGCCCATCTGTTTATGTCTAGAGGGGTAGCTGTGCTAGTCCGTTCTAGCAAAAACAACAAAGAGTCTTATGGCAACTCAAAAGACTAAGAAATCTATTCTTTATTATGTATTTAGAACTCAGTGACCCAGTGCAGAGTCAGACACAGTGTTCTTGATCTGCAGATTGTGATCGAGAGACTAGGAACAGGTTGCTCACCTGTATTTTTCATCCTTTCCGTCTCTCATGTGACTGGAATCTTGTTGTTTATGCATAACTGTTTAGCATTGCGCTTGCATCGGGCCGAACAAACTGTGGCTAGGGCTAAGGCTTTGGGAACTGTGATTTGAAAGCAGATTTTGATATTTATTTGTAATCTTTTGTACCTTGCCTCTGAAGGTTTAAGATCTCCAGGGCGGATTACCAAAGACATGATGCAAATAAGAGTAATTTAAAACAATTCAAGCTATTTCAAAAGAAGTTTAGTAGTGAATCAGCGGGGGCAGGCTGGGGGAGCTCATTTTAGCATGGATGAAAAGCACCATCTTCCATGTCTGCAGCACTTTGCAAAGAATGAGCAGTCATAACATATGTTTGTATGTTACTTTCTCTAATGTATAGCCCCTTTTTTGCAGACTTTCCCCCTAACATATGTGTTTGTTTACACATTGGTTGGTAGAACAAAAATGTGAATTTTGAGGATGAAAGTGAAAGTGTTTCGGCTTGTGTATGGGATTGAGAAGTGTGAATTTGCTAGTTTCTCATTAAAATGCAAAACAACCACAACAACCCCACACACTTTAATTTCTCTGCCATCCTTAGTGACCCCTAACCTAGAACCAGATGCTAGGTACACCACAGAGAAAGGGAAAGGAAATGGAGACTGGGAAAAACTTAGGTCCTGGCTATCTGCAGGGCTGTATTCTCCCCTACAAACCTGCCCAGGCTCTGAGATCTTTAGGGGAGGCCCTTCCCTCAGTCCTGCTACCTTTCAGGCACTCTTGATGGGGATGTGGGAGAGGGCCTTTTTGGTGGTTGCACCCAGACTTTGGAAGTCCCTCCCTAGAGAAGCTAGAGGCTCCCTCCTTGTTGTGCTTCCGCCAGCAGGTGAAGGCTGCTGCATTCCTTTTTAAGGGAAAGGGCTTCAGTGGTGACGTTTTTGTTCTTTTAGAGTTTAATTGCAACAATCTTTTATAGGTTTCTAGCTTTTTGTGTTTTATTATCGGTGACGTTTTAATTAGTGTACGCTGCCTTGAGTCTCAGTCTGGGGAAAAGACTGGGTATTAATCATAATACAAATCAGGGCAAGAATATGCAGTTATTTTCAGTTGTACGGTCTTAGGATTCATTACAGTGCGGCGGGGTGGGGAGTTGCTGGCCCCTCAGAAGTTGTAGGGTTATAATTCCTACTGTTCCTGAGAATTGGCCATGGTGGCTGGGACTGTTTAGCATTGCGCTTGCATTGGGCCGAACAAACTGTGGTTAAGGCTAAGGCTTCGGGAACTGTGGTTTGAAAGCAGATTTTGATATTTAGCTGTAATCTTTTGTACCTCGCCTCTTAAGGTTTATGATCTCCAGGGTGAAGTCCCTTCTCCTCCATGGGGTTAGAGAGTTATGCCAGCACTGAAAAGGCATTAAAGGGGTTCTAGGTAACCCTGAAAGACCCTCTCCACCTGTGGGGAAAGGCTGCAATCTTACAGCAATCTTAGTTAGCCTTAAGTGTACGTTGCTACAGATGTAACATGATTTGCTAATGCAAATCACTTGTCGAGGGGGTGAAGGAATTGTTCTCAATAGGAGAATGAAGAAGAGCCAGTCAATTCTAGGTCCCACAGTCCGTCCTGCAATGCTTGTACCATACCAATGAGGGTGAAGCGACTGGCACATCTCCGCTCTGGGTTCTGTCTCTTGCTGGAGGTTAGCAGAACAATGAGAATGGCCTTTTTGTGTCTGTTGACGTATGGTTGTCCTCCCCCCCCCATCTCCTCCTAATGCACATTAAGGCCTCGCTGGAGAGAGGAGAGGGGGTGTAACGTAGCTCTTGAAATAGTTGCTTTCACGCTGGAACCTGGCAGGTGAAGTTTCACTAAGGTTGGTTTATGGAACGGCATTCAGGCGATGCTTCTGTTCTGCCTCCCCGCCCCCTTCTCCTTAGAACAAAAAGAGGAAAGCTGCAGCTCAGCCGTTCAGATCCAGGGTGGATTTGTTATGCAACGGCGTATTTCCCCCCCAGCATTTAGACTTCGGGCAGCATGTGGATTAAATTCTATTCTGCCAGTCTGGTGGAACTGGCTACGGACGGTAATTCCAAAACAAGCTGGTGGCTTGTGCAGATGGGCTGACAGCCCGGAAAACTGCCTTAACCCAAGGCTACATTCACAGAGCAGTTTATTCCATTCCGTTTCCCTAACTGCTATATTTGAGCTTTCTCACAACGTAAAACCCACATGCAGAAAACTATCTGTACAAAGCGCACATTCAGTGCTCATTTCTGTGTTATTAGGTTCCAGAAAAAAAAAATCAGTTTGCAGCCCCCTTAACCCAGAAAATGTCAGTTATTAAAGTGATGAAATTTGGTGGGGTATTCTGCCCTATAGATGTTCCCTGCTGTTTTCATGGGGGAAGAGAAGCAGGCATGTGCAGAAATGGGGGGGGGGGGAGTAGCAGCGATGTTGTCCAGTGGCTTCCATTGTTGTATCACACCATGTCCACTGATGTGAATGAAATTCATTGTGAAATGCTTATTTCTTGGACAAAAGGCCACAGTTCCATAATGCAACAGGTACCGCAGTGTGAAAGGAACGCTAGAAAATGGGACAGAAGCACTAGCCTTAAAATCTGGAAAAGTGACACAATTATCCCTATGTCTGAATGCACCCCAAGGCAGACCATTGGGTCTATCTAGGGCAGTATTCCAGGGTTTCCCAAACTACAGCAGTTTTTGGACTCTAGTTCCCATCATCCCTGACCATTGGCCCTGCTAGAATGATGGGAGCTGTAGTTCAAAAGCAGCTAGAGAGCCAAGTTTGGGAAACCCTGGTCTACACTGACCGGCAGCGGCTGTCCAGGATTTCTTGCAGAAGTCTATTTCAGACTTACCTAGAGATGTGAGGGATTTGCATGTGAGGAGTGTTCTTTATCGTTGAACTGTAGCCTTTCCTTTCAGTAATGTTACTGCCTTAATCTAGATGGCATTTATTTATTTCAGACAGATACACACACACACACACACACACACACACACACCACTTAATTATTTGCATTTCTAAGCAGTGTACATAGAAAAAATCCACAGAGATGGAACGATAAAAGAGTGTCGCAACATGGGTGAAAGGACTGCACCACTTGCAGCTGCTTCCCCAGGTAGCAAAACTTCCTGCCAGTAAGAAATAAACCAACACTGGGCCATTTTTTGATGCACAAACATTCACAGATCCTTCCCCCTTGCCCTATGAAGCAGCACAGTTCATTCTGGAGCCTCGTGCTCTGTCCACCTCATTTCGTTCTGCCAGGCCTGATTCATTACAGGGAAAATAGCTATTTACAAGTCAGCCTTTCAGAGTTTTATGACTCAAATAAACCCGGCCTCCTCAACATGATGGGGATTAAGACATAAATTTGGGCATTGTGGTCGGGGGGGGGGGGGAGAGAGAAGCCAGGAAGCCCAGATTTTATTGACTCATCACAAGAAAGAAAGAAAAGAAAGAAATCCAGTGAAGGAGTTTATTGGGTTTGGGATTGTGAAGGTGGTTTTCGAGTTCAAAAAGGCTGATGTCTTGTGGCTTCTGCTGCTTGTCGTTCTCTCCTGCTTCCAGTTTCTTTACTCAGTCCTATTGCATGATTCGGCGGCGCCAGATTCACATGTGGTTTTGCGAAAGGCACATGTGTCAGTTCCCTCTTCAAAACCTGAAGGAGGTCTGAAACCTCCTTGTGTCCACATCTTCAAATCTGTTCGGACCGTTTCAGCTGAAGCTGCTTCTTTGTGAAAACACAATTTGCCTCATTTCATCACATACACTGTGGGTGGGCAAGGGGGGGAACCTCAGGCCTAAGGGCCAAACATCGCTCCCCAGGCTTCTCTATCCAACCCCTAGGACTTTTCTCAGGCCGTACCCCTCAGTAGCCTGCACTCTTCACTGACTCTGTCTGCACCTTCCTCGAGTGCTTTGGCTTGGCTGGAATGAGTCTCCAAACCTGGGAGACCAGGGTTCAAATCCCCACTGGGCCACAAAGCTCATGGGGTGACTTTGGGCCTGTCACAGCCTCTGACCATAACTTGCTTCTCAGGGTTGTTGTGAGGCTAAAAAGGGAGAGAAGGGGAACCATGGACACAATGGAGGAAAGGCGGGATAAAGATGTAACAACAAATAAATGAAAACAAATGTGGCCCTCCGGTGGGAAAAGGTTCTCCACCCTTGACAGAACATCATGTATATTATTGAAAGAGATGGTCGTGTTTTGGGTTTAGATGCTGAAGTTCACATCGTAGAATCATAGGATGGTAGAACTGGAAGGGAGCACGAGGATCAACTGGTCCAACGCCCTGCAATGCAGGAATCTTTTGCCCAATGTAGGGCTCGAACCCACGACCTTGAGATTAAGTGTCTCGTTCTCTACTGACTGAGCAATCCCTCTGGTGCGTCTTGCCTCTGCTGCAAACTCGCAAAGCCGCACATAACTCTCTCAGCATCGACTGGCAATGTGAATAAAACTGGCCTGCCTTACACAACTGTGGTTAAGGGTTGCTGAAAGAGTTTTATGTGAAATGCTCTCAATTCTGAAGCATTGCAGAAGGGCTGAGTATTATAAATCAGTTTGCCAAGATCTCTGTACAAAGAGGAATAGCTGAGATGCAGGCATGGTAGGAAGACAACCTGTTGTCTGCTCCAAGCCTCTGGGATTACAGTGGTACCTCGGGTGACAAATGCATTGGGTTACAAATGCTTCAGGTTACAGACTCCGCTAACCCAGAAGTAGTACCTCAGGTTAAGAACTTTACTTCAGGATGAGAACAAATTGCGTGGCAGCGGGAGGCCCCAATAGCTAAAGTGGTACTTCAGGTTAAGAACAGTTTCAGGTTAGGAACAGACCTCTGGAACAAATTTAAGTTCTTAACCAGAGGTACCACTGTAGTGTCAAACCTATCTGCCTGGGTACGTCCCCTGCTCCCCAATTGGAATAAAACTGGGAAGAGAAGTGCTGGGGTGCCGGTGTTGATATCTCTTGTATGAAAGAAACTGGTTTTGTATTGGCGCTTCCTACAAGCAGAGATGAGAGAGGCTGAGCAGAACAAATCTTTCTGCTGCATGCTACGCTCAGTGCAGGGTTAACGTTACCAGCAGCAAAACACCTGCTTCCAACCCCTGTTTACTTCTTAAGGGCGGCTCCATTAAGGAAAGCTGTTCCTGGGGCAACTGAGTCCAACCACATTGTCTGAGTCACGAACAGGTGATTAATTAACAGCTGAATGAATGCTTGAAAACACCTCCGGCAGGCTGAATCTTCTGGGAGCTAAGTATAAATATCAGGGTGGGTGTTGAGGCGTCATTGTGTTGCAAGCCTCTGAGTGCTGTCTATCACACTGTCGAAATATATGTGACATGCACGCACGCACATGGGGCTGCCACCTCAGCCTGCGCTGCTTGCCAACCACACTGATCGTGATGTGGCACTACAGAACCTCCAATGGGGGACTGTGTGATGACAGCCTTACATTTTTATGTGTATGGGAAGATATATATGACTTGCAGCATTGATGAGAGGTGTATGGATACAAGGAGAAGGAAGCAATGGATGACCCTGGATGGACTATATGACATGGCTTGTAATAAGCTGTCTTGTTCGGGGTTACAGATATTTATAGGAACAGAGGACAGGATGAAAATTAAAGTTTTGGTCATGGTGTGTGTGTGGGGGGGGGGAGAAGCCAGTGTATTTGAAAGATTGGTTTAGCATGAGTGAAAGCAACTACAGTAAGCCTTTTGAGGAGCTCTTGAAGGAGCTGGGTGTATTTAGCCTGGAAAAGAAGGGACTGAGAGGAGATATGATAGCCATCAAATATCTTAAGTGCTGTCACGTGGAAGAAGAAACATGCTTGTTTTCTCCTGCTCTGGAGGGTAGGACTCAAACCAATGGCTTCAAGTTACAAGAAAGGAGATTCTGACTAAACATTTGGAAAAACTTTCTGACTGTGAAAGCTTGTTTGACAGTGGAACAGACTCCCACGAGAGGTTGTGGACTCTCCTTCCTTGAAGGTTTTTAAGCAGAGGTTGGATGGCCATCTGTCATGGATGCTTTATTTGAGATTCCTGCATTGCAGGGGGTTGGACTAGATGAACCTTGGGTCCCTTCCAACTCTTAAGATTCTATGATTTATTTGTGATTAAAGTATCTCCTGCCCTTCGTTTTATAGGGGCCCAGGGTGGCAAACAAATGCTAAAACCATAAAAACGTCTTTAAAAAAATCTAATACAGATGCAGACTGTCATGCAAGCATCTTGCAAGCATGACATCAGTGGCTAAGCATGATGGCTTTCTCTGTCACACATGTTTCTGACCACCACTTGCTGGAAAAGGTGGGAGGGGAGAGGACTCTTGTGCTCAGCTCCTTCTTGAGGTTCCTATGAGAGGAAAATCCTCACCTGTACATACAATTGAAAGGGAAAAGTGACCAGCTTCTAAGCTTATTTTTGTTTGTTTCCATGTGTGAAAACATTTGAATCCTTCCGGCCTGTGTTTTAAAACACCCACAAGGTAACAAGCGATTGCTTAACATTTGATATGGGATATAAAACCATGCAGCAGAAAGAAAACCCACAGCACTTCATCAAAATGGCAACCAGCTATTCCCCCAAAGATATCAATCAGTTGTTGGATGTCTTGTGAAACGTGTTGGTCTTGGCCAGCCTTGCAAAAGGCAACAGTGCATCATCCCTTTAGGGCAGGCACACAGTGTTAGGGTCAGAACTGAAAAAGTCCTTTCTGGTGCTTCCAGTATCTGGAGCCCAGACTGATTTTGACAGAGATGGGGAAGCTGTGGAACTCCCTGCCTGTTGACACCAGGCAGGTGCTTTCACGCTACTCTTTTTGGCCCCTGCTAAAAACATTGTTTCGGCAAGTCTATCCAGACATGTATAATGTGTTTTAATATGGTCTTTAACTTATCGTTGATTTAAAATATTTTTTGAATGTTTTAAATAGCTGTAGTTTTTTTAAAAATAGTTTTTATTAAATTTTCTAAATAACATTTCAAAATATTCATTTAAACAAGCTTAAATCAATGACTTCCCTTCTTCTCCTTCCATGGTTCATTTTGCATACCATACTGTACATCCCTGCATATTTTACATGAACTAACTAAACAATTCAGTAATCCATTGTTTCATCCATCAAAACTTATTTACACTGTTGAATTTACCTTAATGCTACCAGCATTTTAAAATAAATACAAATTTCACCTGTATATTCAGTAAACATTTTCCAGTCTTTTTAAAACTTGCATTCTTCTTGTTCTCTTATTCTATAAGTCTGCAAACTGCATGTATTGCATCAGTTTAAGTTGCCTTAAATAGCTGTTTTTAAAATATATTTTTTAAAAAAACCTAATACCTTTATTATTATTTTCTTTTTGTAAACAGCTTTGTAAAACAGCTTTGAGGTTTTATTACAATCAAACAGTTTCTGCACTTTTTGGAAACAAATGAATACATTCTTTCCCCAGCTGGATAAATGAGTCTGTACCATGAGGCTCTACTTGTTAGAGTTTTAAGTCTTGTTTAAATCTATTTGTGTTTTTAAGTATCTTATGTGTGGATCACATTGAAACAGAAGTTTAGAAGGCTATTGATAAATGAATTGCAATTATATAATAGTGAAATAAAATTAATAATGCTGAGCCAGGCCATTGGTCCAACTAACTTAGTATTGTCTGCACTGACTGGCAGCAGCTCTCCAGGGTTTCAGGCAGGGGTTTCTCCCAGACTTGCCCAGAGATGCTGTGGTTTGAACCAAAGACATTCTATATGTGAAGCAGATGCCCCACTCCTGAGCTGGGGCCCTTCTCTCAAGACGCAGTTACCCATACGGCTGCGTTATACTGTCAGACCGTTGGCTAGTCTAGATCAGTATTGTCTACTGGCAGTAGCCCAATAGTCAGGGATGATTGGTGCTGTCATTGAGCAACATTTGAAGGGCCAGAGGTGAGCTATCCCTAATCTAAGGCTTTAACCGTCAACACCAGCAGTCACTATATTTAAGAAACGTGGAATTATATTTTGAAATAACTACGGGCCACAGAACGGAAGAACACAGAGAACAAAGCAATAAAACCACTAATTAAGGGATGAGGGCCTGTCACTGATTATGGTCCTTCGTATGGGGCGGAACAATTAGTATAAAGCAGCTCTAAAGAAATGTGAATGGAGTTCTGCAAAGTTTGAATGTTGGCATCTGAACTCAACTGGGATGTGGTCAGAAACTTCCGCTCTCCTACGCAGGCGATAAATGGAACTGCGGGGCTGCAATACCTTTGATATTCCTTGCTTGCTGCACTTTGCTGAGCGGATTTGCACAGAATGCTAGGTAGGCTCTCAAATTTGATCAATCCACTGTTGAGAAGGTGGCTTGGGAGGAAGGAAGGGAGGAGTGAGAACGAGAGAGCAAGAAGGTCTACTAGGTCTGCTGAGATTTATGGTGGAGCAGGCTTCTGATATTTTTTAGGACCTTGAAGGAGAAACTCCATTGCAGAAAGCTGTGGCCTGCTAGCATATAAGGGGTGAGGCAGTCTCTCAGGTAACTTGGTCCTGAGCTGTATAGGACTTAATACAGTGGTACCTTGGGTTAAGTATTTAATTTGTTCCGGAGGTCTGTTCTTAACCTGAAACTGTTCTTAACCTGAAGCACCACTTCAGCTAATGGGGTCTCCTGCTGCCGCTGCGCGATTTCTGTTCTCATCCTGAAGCAAAGTTCTTAACCTGAGGTACTGTTTCTGGGTTAGCGGAGTCTGTAACCTAAAGCGTATGTAACCCGAGGTACCACTGTATAGGAAGCTGCTTTTTTACTGAGTTGAACCATTGGTCTGTCGAGCTTGGTATTGTCTACACTGACTGGCAGCTGGGTTTTGGACAGGGGATGTTGCCTGGAGATGATTAGGATTGAACCTGGGCCACTGAGCTGTGGCCTTTCCCTCAAAAGCTGATACTAAAGCCTTGAGCAGATTGGCAGCCAGCAGAGATCCCACGGATGCTGGTGGAAGTTTTTCCTCCAAAAGCAGCCTTGCTGCAGCATTGTGCACTGGCTGCAGCCTCCAGACCCACCCCATAGATCTAAGTATATTGAATTTTCCTGTTATGCTGTTTACAATCCCCCAGTGATATGGGAAGTATGATATACAGCTGTATGATACCGCTCTAAGCAGCCATGGCTCCCCCCAACCCAAGAATCATGAGAGCTATAGTTTCTTCAAATGCTGAAAGGGGTTAGGAGACACCACAGAACTACAGTTCACAGAGTGGTTTAGCAACCAGTCTCTCTTCCCAGCTGTAGCCCATGTGGTACCTTCCAGATGCTGGATTCCAGCTCTCTAAGAACGTAATAAGAGCCCTGCTGGATCAGGCCAGCGACCCATCTGGTCCAGCATTCT